ATTAACTGTCAGCTGCTTTGAATTGTTTTCAGTTTTAATTAACTATAAGCGCGTGTTTAAATGGAGCTGAATGGTAGTAGTTAGTTTTGTTAATTAACTTTAAGTAAACATTTTTGCACATTTGTGTTACTTTTGCTGCAGATGTTACTTTATCCACGCTGTCTTCTCGCAATAGATCTCCTAGGAGTGTTAGTGACAAAGATAGCCCACGTTCTGTGTTTTTGGATCGCAGTTCATCGTCGAATTCTAGGCGTAGTTCTAGTGGTACTAGTTCGAAGCATCCGTACAGTAGCTTTAATAGAAGTCATCGTGATAAAAATCGTGAAAGAGAGAAAGAAAGATCAGGTACTGTTGATCTGTGGGATCATGACTCATCTGATCCTCTGGGGAATATTTTAGCCGTTAGAGTTGATAAGAACAGCTTGAGGCGCTCTCAGTCACTGGTGTCCAGGAAACCTGGCGAGTTCTTGCCCCGTAGGACTGAGGATTTGAAAGGTGGTATTAGTAGCACCCATAACAGTGGTAATGGTATTCATTCTGGGGGAAGTAGTTTTAATGGTAGCCAGAAGGCGACATTTGAGAAAGACTTCCCTTCTCTTGGGATTGAAGAAAGGCAAGTCACCAGAGTTTCATCTCCTGGGTTGAGCTCAGCAGTTCAGAGTTTGCCAATTGGAAACTCAGCTTTGCTTGGTGCTGATAAATGGACCTCTGCATTGGCAGAGGTGCCTCCTATAATTGGCAGCATCAGTATGGGGAGCTCAGCTTCTCAACAAAGTATTGCTGCAGCTCCAACAACTAGCGCATCGAGTGGGATGGCTAGTCTTAACATGGCTGAAGCATTGTCACAAGCACCGCCACGTGTCCGTGCCACCACCCAGGTATTTTTTTTAATTTCTAGTTATTACTTATTCTGATAATTTTGGAAGAGGTGTTCATGTGTGTATGTTTTGATCATTTGTAGATCCCTGATAAGACACAGAGGCTGGAGGAATTAGCTATAAAGCAATCCAGACAGTTGATACCTGTGATACCTTCAACGCCTAAAGCCTTGGTACGACATCATGTTATATGCACACAATGCTCATATGCTTTAATAATGCATTTAACCGGGACTTATTTTTTTCCTTATGACTTCATCTATAGGGGTTATCATTTATTGGTTTGTTTGTATGCAGCTATAGAAAGAATTGGTGGGGGAGTACAATCATGATACAATTGAGAATTCCGTAGTCATTTCTGTTTTTTATCCTTTTGCAGTTGGTCATTGATTTAGCTCTATTGAACTTTTCTTTTCGTCACTTATGGATTGAATGCTAATAATCTTTTGTAGCAGACTAAGTTATTATAGAATATATTAAGACACAGGAAGCTTCGGATATGAATGTGATAGCCAAGTTTCTGTAGGTCTCATTTGTGAATAGAAGTGCAACTAACTTGTGCTGGTTATAGGTCTTTGATGAGTCTTGATGGACTATTAACCATTTTATTATTCAATATAAAGAGGCTATTTGGTTGTGCTGGGCGGTTGTGTGGTGTCCGCGCATTGTTGACATATACCATTTTCCATGTTCATAATATCTTGACCTGTACATTGTCTTATGCCTTGAGCTGCTGGAGTGCATGTAGCGGGATTGAAACTCAGTTGGCTATATAGCTTTTCAAGATATAAGGAAACATTAAGCTATTCAAGATTTCCTGGTAACACATACAAGAGCTTATCTTCAACGCACTAGCTTTAGTCGATTGTAGGATGTGGTTACACCCTGGAATAATAAATAAAAGTTGTGGGAATTTCATTGTACAAATTGATATAAACCATGATTAGTAGTGTAATTAATAAGAATCATTGGAAGTGTGGAGTTGTGTGACAACTATAGTTCAAATACATGCCTTGATACAAGTGCGAGGGTTCTTTTTTCCCATTCTTGTTGTCAAAGACTTGCCTCCTCTCAGTATCTGAATTCTACTTAACTTACAAACAATGCTGCCCTTCATGATCTGGATAATCCTCTAACCAGTTTCTCACTATCTTGCTCTGTAGACCTATTTCTCCATTTATTATCCAGATGATCCCCTAATCAGTGATTCATTATCTTGCTCTATAGACCTTGTCCTTCTTTAATTTTTCTTTGAAGTTTTTTAAGCCCTTGATTGAAGTGATAGTCAATTTTTAATGTCTTTATTACTTGTACTTTGCCTTTAATTGTATTTGATCCACACATTATTGTATTGGCTGGGTCGTTGAGTAGAATCATGTCTATGATTGCCTTTTGTTTTATCCACCTGCTGATGTTGCTTGTACAGTAGACGATTATATTATATTGGTGAAATAAGTTGGTCGGACACGGGTGCGGGTGTCCGACACGCATGCGGATCTAGAGGTCGGATCCTTTGAGATGTAAATTCTAAGATTTGGGAATACGGATCCTAGTATGGATACGGGTGCGGGGTTTCCGACTTAAAGTAATTCAACAAATATTTCTAAATTATGATATTTTTTGTGGAATACTTACATATAACTTGTAAAGTGTGGATTTCTTTTTTATTTTCAAGTTGTAGATAAGAAAAAGATTGATTTCCGAGACAAGGTATGCTATTTCTCCAAATTTACCCTAGTTTTGGGTTTGATTCGGGAATCAAATTGTATCTTGTCTCGAATTTTTCCGTCCATCATGGTCAAAGTACCCAAAATTGTTTGACCAGATCCGGTATGGATCCCATTCCCACACCCATACTAGTGTCGTGCCGATAGGGGTGCGACACCTAAATTGTCGTGTCAGAGCAACTTAGCTGGTGAAGCTAGATACCTAGCTACTAAGTTGCTCGGGTGCGGGTGCCCGATACTGGTGCAGATCTAGAAGTCGGATCCTTGATGATCTAAATTTTAAGATTCTGGGGTATGGATCCAGGTATGGATACATGTGTTGGGATTCAGCTAAAAATAATTCAAATATCTAAAGGTAGAGGTATAAAAATATGTCTAAATTATGAGACATTATTTGGAAAACTTAAAAATATTCCGAGAAGGAGATGAAAGAAAAAGGACTAACATAGAAATCTCTTATATGCAAGGTATTCCATTTCTTCAATTTCAGTCTAGCTTTTATTTTGATTTCAAAAATAATTATATCTTTCCTGAATTTCTCCATCTATTTTGGTCAAAGTATCCAAAATCGGTTGACCATATCCGGTATGGATCCTACACCCACGCCCACACCCACGCCATGTCGACATGGGTGCGACACCAAAAGTGAAGAGTCCGAGCAACTATCCAAAGGAAAATGGCCAATAAATGGTGAACTACAGTTGTCAAATAAACAAACTAGAACGCAAAATTACTGGAAGGTCATTAGGGGAAACTTTTGAGGGATTGATTAACCGGGGAATGCTGCTAATTCATCTTTAGGACAACCAATGTTTTATAGTAAATGATCATGAATGATGTTAAATAAAACTTGGAATTTGTGTGTAAATTATGGCACTTGAACTTTTATTGTTCCCTATTTAATGTCATAACCTTGTGGTTGATCACATTCATTGGTCAGGTGAATTATTTAGTCTCTTTAATAATTTTTGGGCACTTACAAAAGATAGTAGTACTAGAATTCAAATGGTTACTTGGTTATGTTTGACCTGTTTATGTAACATTATGCTGTCCCAACCTCTTGCTCCCACCCTCTCAGGGAGTGTATTGCCATGAATATGTAAAACTTGTTTAGAGGAGTTTGTGATGGGTGTGTGCTTTTGTTGGGAGCTAGTGTGCTTTCCTAGTTCTATCTCACTGGAAAAGCAATATTAGAGAACAAACATAAAGGAATCACATCTTCAGCTAATTACTGGTACCTATATTGTGCCTTCTCTCCTCTAAAGCTTAACGCACTAAGGGGTCGTTTGGTTCGAAGACAACTTATGCATGGATTAACAATGCATGGATTAGTATTTTCAAGGAAAAGACAAATTAAATCTAAAGAGTGTGAGGAGCTTTTTGTCAAATTTTGTTCAATCCATGTATTACTTTACCTGTATTCTTATTCTATATTCTACCCTGCATAAAATAATAAGTAGATTCCAGCATAACTTATGCGAGTATTATTTCATGTGGAAAACAAAAGAAGCAACTAAAAAACGTATATAATTGTTCGGAGTTTAATGCAGTGATGATGTTTCTCTGTGCACCTCTCTTGGCCAATGGTTCACATTTCCTGCTGTATGTATGTTTTTTGTCGTTGTAAAGTACCATGATGGTTCCTTCTCTGGCATAATCATTCACCTGTACTTGGGTCCTAGCAGTTCTGTAGCACTTGTTGTTACTGTGAAGGGTATTATTTCTGATGCACTGTTTACTGCTTTTTCCACAAATTGCTTGTTCTCTGGCACTCAAGGAACCAAATTGGTAGCTACATTTTAGCTTTTTCTTTCTTACACAGAGGGAGGGAGGGAGGGAGGGAGAGAGAGTGTGTGTGTTGTAGTGTAGTGTAGCTTTTATGCATCTTTTACTTAGAAAAGACAGCAGACTGTCTACTCGAAAGGAAAAAGGTTGGAATCCATCTTGCTTATGAATATTGTTGAAGAATCTGTTTATTTTCCATTTTAGTTGTATCTTCCTCTAGTATTTGGATATAGAATTTATGTTCAAAGGTTTGTGCTTGATTGATAGTTGATATCCATGTTAATGGGAAGTAATTGTTTCCAGGTTTCCAGTTCTGCTGATAAATCTAAGCAACCAAAAGCCACAGCTAGGGCAAATGAGATGGTTGGCTTAGCTAAGAGTATGCAACAACCTTTTTCCACTCAACTTGCAAATCAGCCCCGTAGTGGACAAGTCAGATCGGAAGCTCCAGCTACCTCTCATGGCAAAACTCTTCTGGTTCTGAAGCCAGGACGGGAAAATGGTGTCACCTCTTTATCAAAAGAAGCACTGAATCCAGCTAACAATACTGGCGGTAGATTAGCTAATTGCTCTCCTGCAGTGGCTCCTTCAGCTCCTGCTTTGACCAGTCCAACTTCGAGGGTGACTTCCCTTGAATCTAAAGCTGCTACATTGTCGCTGAAAGCACGATCTACTGCAGAGAAGAGATCTTCTCTGTCTCAAGCCCAAAGCAGGAGTGATTTTTTCAATCTAATGAGGAAGAAGACTTCATTAAATTCTTCTACTGTCCTTTCAGACTCTGGTATGGCTTCATCTGACAGTAGTGAGCAATCTGGTATTAAAACTAAAGATGAGGATAGTGCCTCATTGAGTCCTTGTGTTTCTGAAAATGGAAGTGAGAGAACCAGCAATGGAGACACTCATGAATCTCAGAACCATGTTCAAAGCCATAATGGTATTGAGGAGAACAACTCATCCATAAATGGAGCGCTATATCCAGATGAGGAAGAGGCTGCTTTCCTACGTTCTCTTGGTTGGGATGAAAATGCTGGGGAAGACGAAGGCCTGACAGAGGAAGAAATTAATGCATTTTATCAGGAGGTAACCAACTCTACTTGCTGGTTTCTATATTATGATAAGAGATACTTCCAGTGTTAGATTAGTTATGTTAAAAGATAAGCCATGATTAAGTTGTTTTGCCTGCGAGTTTGATACTAGTGAGGTTTCGTGGAGAATGTTCATGGCATATGTACCTGAACATGACCCACAGAAAGTAAGTTTTGTTCTAAAATTCTTAATAGATGCTATGTGGTTCTGGTGTTGGTCTTGTGGTCTGCCCCTGAGACGCACTTTCTTTATGTAAATTTGGAGCAGAGTTGTACCATTGGCGTTATTTTTTCTTTTTTTTTGGGGGTGGGGGGCTCAAAATTTAAGTCAGAAACTACACTGAAAAATAAAGCTTGTTTTCCCTTCAGACTGTGTTTGACTTAACTCCCTACTTTTGCAGTATATGAAACTGAAGCCTTCCTTGAAGGTGTACAAAGGTGCCCAGCCAAAGTGTTTGATGCTGCCTGAGATGCATGTTGCTACTAATCGTGGACCTGCTTCTTCCGAGTCGACTTCTTCTGAATCTGATGCTTGAATATAATTTCGCACGTATGGATGCATACAATTGGGTTTGTCAAGAGATACATCTCTTCTTTTTGTGATCTATTTTGTTTTGGAGCATCTCTGATGCATGTTAACAAGTGGAGGGTGGCTTTTGGAATTTTGAAGTTCAGAGAAGAGAAATAAGTTAGTCTGCTGGTGTCCTACTGGCTCAAAAGTAAGCTAAGGTATCAAAGGTAGCGTTTTATAAGTAGAGTTTAGGAAAATGTTAGTCTGCAGTGGATGATGCTGGGCAAATTGCTTCTTTTTGGAAATTTTTTGTGCTTTTCCTTTCCAGTATCAATTGAAAAGGAAAGAGAAGGTTTTACGTTGTTTTGGTCAATTTTACGGGGAAGAAGGAAAATTGCAAAGTTCATTATAGAATTTTCTTTTCAGTCGTAATCGCAAAGCTCGTGTTGATATAATCCTATCTATATTTTTGTCTTTAACTGTTTGGCTAAGTTTCTTTTGTGATATTAATATTTTCAATTGCAATAGGCTCACTTCTTAGAGCAGTTTGATGGATGTAGTAGGTGGCAGTGACGGGTAGGGAGATGCCTTTTGGGAGATTACAGCGTGCATAGTTTCTGTTGAAGTGCTTTGACTGGTGGCTCTGTTGTTGGAGCATGTATTTTCCTTCACAGTGATTGATCGGTTTTCTTAGAGTTGGAAATAATGTAAAATGCCTTTTGACTGATTTTCTTAAGCAGGTAATGAGGGGTTAATACTGCTTAATGGTGTTGAATCTTTTGAAAGAAAACTACAGTATCCAGGTTCTGTTTAAGTATTAAAATTGCAATAAAAACAGAAGGTAAATGGATTCAAGTTGCATTTTAACCTTGAAAGTGCCGGTCTCTTTTCTTTTTCCCATTCAAAATTGCTCTCCTCTTCTCAATTGAGAATGTCTTTCTGGACAGACGATTGACACCTCAATGGAGTAAAGATATTAGGGGTATGGAACTTTATTTCTTCTCACTCCGAGGAAGGTTCACTAGTCCTTCTGCTTTGTTATTAGGCAGACCCCTGTAGGCCTATCGACCAATGACTGATGTGATCCCTACTTGCGTAATAGAAAAATGGATTTCGTTGTGGAGGTAAATGAATGATGAAATTAAGGATATCACGTAACTTGATTGTGTACAAAGGCAACTTGGTCTCTGGCTATAAAGTTTCCAGTATTTTGCACCGCTTGTGAATTATAAGAGGAGGATCCCCCGCTGCAAGGAAACAACGGATCGACTTTTCTAACTCTCTTTAAAGAGTCTGTTTTCAAATTCACTTGCTTGCAAGTTTTGGGTTAGCAGGTTGTTGACTGGGAGAGCTGGTAAAAGGGAACAACAATCTCCCCCAGCAATACCAAAGATCCATCCAAGGAATGAGCTTCCCTTCCTGTGGACTACAAGGAAAAGATAGAATCTCGTCCGGCAACAGTAGCTGAGTCAATGACAGATGCTCTTGGAAAGAACCTTTCATTCGATGCTTCTGATTCAAGCTTATTCTTTTCTACCTTTTGAATTAATCTAGAAGCTCAATTAGCAGATTCATTAGAAACCTTTCGACCAGTATAATCATTAAATTTCTCGCATATATAACCAGCATAGCTCTTGTATGAGCGAAGTAATGCCTTCATCCTTTCTCTCCATGTATGCTTAGGAACCATACCAATCCATCCCGAACTTAGTGGTTAAACTCAACAAGTATGGGAAGGGTCCTCCTCTCCCTGGTCAAAGCTCCGTGAACGAGAACTCGTTTTGTTTGTTGGCCGGCTAATGATGGTTTTCTGTCCCAATTCAACCTTACAGTCTTCGGATGACCCAAAAAAGCTAATACCTTTTTTCTCACAAGCTATTAGTACTACTTTTCACTGGAATGCCACTTTGGAAGTTAAATTGAAAGCAATTATTGTTCATTTTAGAAATTTTCACATTGAGAAAAGTAACATGTCTTGATATTTTATTGCCGTATGTAAACTCAACTCCACTTTAAAATCAATCCTGGTTAAAAGTGAGATAATAAAAAATGATACAAGATTACCACAACCGGGGGAGAGGGATAGTTACTTTCCTATTTGTGTCTCGGAAAAAATGATGAGATAATAAAAATGACACACAATGTGGGGGATGGAGAATAATTTTGAAGTCTACATTAAGGGAAAAAAAGAGAGCAAAAAGGATAAGATTTAAGTGTTTTTTGGTAGTTATTTTCAATTACAATAAAGTCAAGTCCTAGTACAACTGTTGTTAGTCATAAATAAATTAATCAAATATTACATTTTCCCAATGTTTTCCTACATATTTACAATCTTCAACTTATTGTGGAGTAAAGTTTCAGCTAATGGTCGGGTTCAAGTATTTTAGTATTAACCCGTTTGACATTGATGAAAAAACCAGGTGACAACATTTAATTGAATATTTATTACACCTCAGATTTGTATATACATACGCGCTATATTTTTTGCAATTGTTCCAGCTTTTGTGTTAAAGTGGAACATAAGAAATAAAATTGCAGGGCCAAAATGGAACAAACAAGATAAAGTTGGAGGGTCAAAATAGAACAAGATAGAGATAGAGTGTCAAAATGAAAAATGGTGTCAAGTTGAATTGGCTGTATATGTATTTGGCCAAAATAAAAACTAGACTAGAAACACGAGTAAATCAATAGGAAAATCTGAGTCGCCTCATTGGCTTGTACATTTAGCTGTCTATTGTGTACATACTAAGGTGGATTACGCAAGTGAAATACAGGGTATTATAGTCATTCTCGCTCACGTCTATATATATATATTCAAACCCTAGCTAAATCAATGGTATCGCTCAATCGCCATTTTCTAGTCTCTTATCAAATTTCCCTATGCAGCTGACTTGTAAATGTTCTTCGAGTATCTTCATTCTTCCTTAATCCTAATGAAGTTTTAGAGGCGAAGATACTCGAAAAACATTTACTTGTTATTTGTATAGAATTACTATATATAGTCCGTCAGAACTCAAACACAATTTCTTCCTCCAGATCTGTGCTTACCAAATCGATAGTTTAGCTCAATCGCCGTTTCTCAGTCTCTTAAATTTCTCCTAGTTGTCAAAAGTTCGTACAGGTGACTTGTAAATGTTTTGCTGACCTTCTAATATGATATAACTGGCAAAACATTTACACGTACCTTGTATGAACTTTTGATTCTAGCTTTGCTGAAACCTTTTGATGGAGAACTGCTCTAACTCAAGTGGCCAACCTGAAAGGCTGTGATATTCACAGGTCGGCGAGTTTAAAAAACACATTAATTGGTATAATGTTTCCATTTTTGCTTAGAACACTTCGAAATGAATTAATTAAACAAAATCAGCACTAACTCAACTGAGTTTTTGGATCTAACATGAGGGAAAAATTTAATAATTAATTGTTATTTTGATGTTAAACAGAGACGCTCTATGCTTTAATAGGAGTTAGCAAATCTCTTGGGATTCATAATGGAAGAAAAAGATCTATTAGTTGAGAATATGTTTTAGTCAAGTGAGCACTTTTATTTTACATCCTATACTATTCTTGTAGTTGTTTAGCGTTTTAGAGATTTATACATCAATAGAAAATATAAAGAATCTTTAATACTTATTATTATTGTTTTTGTTTTGTATACGGCGATCTATCGAGACCCCTCCCCAATATTACTATACACTTTTCTTAGATCTCAATAGCAATCCCAAGAACCCAAATCCCTGTTCTCAGATCTAACCAATTTTACATCAAAAGCTGCTGCTTAAATGCAGTCACTTTAGGAAATTTTCTCTGTTTTCTTGATCTGCGGTGGCTTGTTTTCTTGATTACTTATAATCAAGGTAGAATTTTTACACCAATTTTGGTAAGTTCTTGGATTTACTGCAATTGGGTAGTGTTCAGTTTTTTCAGATAAGTTGATTGATTCTTGGAATATCAATGTTTTACTACTGCAAATTATGTTTATTCAATCTCAATTGGTTCGTGTAGAATACTATGAAATCTGCGTTTGATTGTTAATATGAATGGCCTGATTTATTTGCTTGACCAAAATTTGATATCGTGGAGCTGTTCTTGGGTGGAAATGGATCTGCTAGCTTACTATTTTGTTTAAAGATAAATAATCTTTTAAGGGAAGTTTGGATCCATTGCCTGATAAGACATTAATATCTTGGAACTTATATATCCAATTTATTTAACTTAAATATTTCTTAAGGTGAAGCATACAAGTTATATCTACACTACATTTTTGGCATTTCATGTTGTCAATGAGAAATGTCCTGCAATTTTGAAAGCATGTAGGGGTTAGTGCTACGAATGTTTTCTTAAGGAGCTAAAGTTTTAGTAGATGGTCAGGATTGAAAGCTTACTGCATCAGAGAGTACACTGAAACAGTATTTATTTCGCCTTGATCTGCAGTTTCATAGTTTGTGCAATTAAGCAGAAACCATTAGGATTTAACAGTTTGCAGCAGTTTGAATTTGTTGGACCTGTGAAAAAGAACAAAAATCTAGACAAGCAAATATTGTATTCTTATGAAAACAAATCTTATGAAATTAATCATGGAGAAAGTAAAATAACAAAGAAGTTCACTAATTTGAAAAACTTCGATACAAGTGTAGTACTGTAACCTTGAAGTTTTCTATGTTTTATGTGATTGACTTTAATCTTCACGGAAATGGCATGTTTGTGCGTTTGGAGGCTAATTGGGTGCTATAGAGGCAAATTTATGCTAGAAATGGCATGCTTGTGTACTCGTTAATTTTGATATGTTTCTCTTCATTACTTGCAAAATAATCAGGTTTAGACATCTCTTCTGATTGTTATTGCCATTTAATGACCAATTTTATCCACCTATTCAGAAAAGAAGAAAGAAGAAAACTACCATTTGATCACGCTTGGCACATTCAATAGACTACACCTGAACTCCAGAAAAACAAGGACAGAGGCAGACCAATCAGGGTGATAATTATTGTAACACACAGGTTGTACTGGATAGAGTGGGTGTCATTGTATTCATGAATCTCTGTACTGTCTTTAATGTTGGAGTTCCACCATTCATTGTGGCAGTCCAATGCAAAAATTGATCACTAAAAAGCTGCTTGTTTTCTGTCTGTATGTCATAGTGGTCCTAATCAAAATCTTTCAGGCATATGATGGAGATCAGAATCTAATGGTTGATTTGTGGATAGATTCCTTGATTATTTCTCCATGATAATGTTCTTTTACCATAAATATCTCTTTACATTAAAGTTTATTTTTGGTATTGGATAAACCATCCGACATTTGTCAGCAATAATACAGTGTAGCAGGGCCTTAGAGTATATATTAGTGAAGTAGGACTCTTTTCTGATTGGTCAAGGCTCTTGAGTTTTCCTATGTGTCTTCAGAAATATTTATCTGATTCAAAGACCTGCAGCTCCTGTGCATGCCTATTTCATTTATCTGATTAGCTTATTAAACATGGTCTAAATTTGTAATTATACTAGTTTGTTATTCCTGATTTTATGGAAGTTCACATTTTGACCACATTCCTCCCCCTCCTCACGCCAATAGAAGAAAATATCCATCTCTGGAAAATGTTCAACAACTTTTTGTTGCATTTGTAGGAGTGAAGTTTTTGTGGTAATCTCGTTGTTTGTGCCTCTCTAATGTAAATATCTGCAGTGTTATCGGTATCCATTTTAGGATAATCAAAAGTTTGTAAGGTGGCGTTTCTTTGAGGTTTTCCGAAACTTGAGTTTGCAGACTCAGCTTTAAACCTTGAGAAAAGTGTTTGTTTGGGTGTGTTTGCAAAAACTGAGAGATTTGGAAAACTCAGTTTGGAAATCTTCACATAAAGTTATATTTGTTCTGGAAACAAGTCAAAGGAACACTTTTTCCAAAACTCAAAACCTGGGTTTGCAAACTCAGTTTTTGGAGAACTCCAAACACTATGTTTTTCATATTGGTTGTACAGCTGGTTCACTTTACTACAAAGAGATTTTAATTCGACTGTTTAATTAGCTAAATCTCTTATCTTTGCCATGATTCTTAGTGTTTTTTTTTGTTTCTGATATAATTTGTTTATGATGTGGAGATTCAAGCCTTTTTTGCCCAAGGAACAGGCTGGGCTTGAAGGTCGCACCATTGATATTGGCAGTCTCAAAGTTCATGTGCGCAATGCAATTGGAGTAGGCGGATTCTCTTGTGTTTATTGCCCGAGATGTACTACATGGTTCAAAGCAGTATGCATTAAAGCATATTATTGTTAATGATGAAGAATCACTTGATCTAGTACTGAAAGAAATTTCAGTGATGAAATCGCTCAAGGGTCATGCTAATATTGTCACACTAAATGCGCATACCTTCTTGGATATGGTTCGTACAAAGGAAGCTCTCCTTGTTATGGAATATTGTGAGAAATCCTTGGTCAGTGTCCTTGAGAACCGAGGAGCTGGCTTCTTTGAGGAGAAACAAGTCCTCTTAATATTCAGGGATGTATGCAATGCTGTCTTTGCTATGCACTGGCAGTCCCCAACCATAGCTCAAAGGTAAAGTCGGACACTCTTAAGCCCGAATAGTTTTTTGAAATGATGATGATGAATGTTTGTAGTAATTTCAGTTGAGCTTAGGCTTTGTTTATGGTAGTCTTCAAAATGTTTCATCTTTTTAGTGACTTAGGGCTTCATAATTCCTTTCTTTGCTTGTAATATTTCAGTAGTTTGTATGTTAAATATGTTGTGATGTAATTCATATCTGTCTATATATTTGCTTCCAGCTTAATTTTGTTCAGTGCCTTTGATTTTTCTGTCATTCTATGGTTTCTGTTGATGGTACTAATATATTGTCTCTTTTCGTTTTCTTGAGCCGAGGGTCTATCCGAAACAACCTCTCTACCCCCTCGGGGTAGGGGTAAGGTCTGCGTACACACTACCCTCCCCAGACCACACTTGTGGGATTTTACCGGGTCGTTGTTGTTGTTGTTTTTGTTTTGTGTAATATTGGCTTGAGTTGAGTTTATATGGTGTAACATGGTCAGTGAGTATTCATATAGCCGATCCCAACATGTTTGGAACTGAGGCGTAGTAGGAGTTGTCAAAATAGACAAGTTAATGTGTATTGGAAGGCATGATTTTTTCCGTCGAAATCCTGAATGACGTTTTCCTTTATTTATGTGTGCCAGTAATTACTTCTAATTCTTTTCATTCTTGTTTGTATCAACAATCTTCTTATTGTTGTAGGATCGAATCAGAGAGCATTATTAGTGGATTGTCGGCAAAATTTCTTCATTGAGCAAACTTCTTTTGTCGTCCTCCCAAGATGTTGTGGGTATAGATGCTCATCTAGAGCAAGTGAAACCTGCTATGGATGAAAACTGATGACATTCAAAATAATTATTGGTATCTGGGGCATGGGAGGAATAGGGAATACGGCAGTTGCACGAGCCAGTTTGAAGCTTCTTGTTTCCGTGGAGATGTTAAAGAATACAGGCGTAGCGTGTGCGCTCATTGCAAAATGCCCTTCTTGGTAAACTGTTAAGGGAGAAAGATGAATGTCGGTAAGGAAGTGCATGATAGTGAGTAGACTTCCTTTTAAGAAGGTTCCTATTTGTGTCTGATGACATAGATCACACACACCAATTGGATTACTTAGCAGGGGATCTTGGTTGGTTTGGTAACCAGTAGAATGCATGATTTGATACATGATATGGGTAAATATGTGGTGAATATGCAAAAGATCCTGAATGTAGCAGTATGGCGCATTGAAGATACTCATTGAGTTCTATCATTGAATTAGAACGAAAGTACATGACAAATTTATTGGTCATGTCTTAATTAGGAATTCCTTCGATCAACAACAACGACAATAACAAACCCCGTGTATTCACACATGTGGAGTATGGGGAGGGTAGTGTGTATACAAACCTTACCCCTACCTAGCGAAGCTAAAGAGACGAATTCCTTCTATCACTTGATAAAAAAAAAACTTAAAAGACTCTGAATCTGAAGAACCTCTGAGAAAATGTTCTTTAGAAAATAGAATTGTGTAATTAATTGCTTAGCGAAATAGTTCATCTGTTGAGCAACATTTTTCTTAAAAAAGGACCTAACCAATACGGTACCTTAAATTTTCCAATGGCGCTCCTCGAGAAACTGCTCGTGCAATAGTAAAGTTTAACCTTGATATTATAGAGTAGAAATATAACTAAAAGAAAGTAAAAAGGAATTGGGCATCGCGAGGAGTGAAAGTACTTATATTTGCAGAGGGATCCTTGTACTGCGTTTGAAATTATACTTTGTTATCTTTTAAGCAGGGGGCCAAAGCAATGGAGGCAATCTGGATTCGTCGTCCCCCAAAAACTATTCTTTAGCAGAGGGCCATGAAAATTCTATGAACTCATCATGGATCAAACAGATGTTGCACATAGATAATGTGATGATCCTTTTTGATTCGCGATGACTGACAGATAATGTGATGGATGTTGTGAGTTGCCTTGATGGCTCTGTTGATTATTTGTCCAACAACTTGTGTTGGTTTGTCTGGGATCGCTATCCTTCAGAATCACTTCCATCGAATTTTGAACGCAATAGACTTGTTCATCTTCGACTCACACGGATATCACTATGTCAATTATGGAGAGGAACAAAGGTACAGTAAATAATTATTGTTGTCCCATTTTCGTTGGCATATTTCCTAAATTGCATATCAGCTTTCTTACATTCCTTGCAATTTAATACTGTTCTTATGCTATTTCATATATGCTGTTACAATTTGGGAAATCAAACAACTTTTACTGTGACTATAATCTGTCAAATATCCTAAGTGTTTTAAACTATAAAAGATTTTGATTTATAGTATTTTTGTATAAATGTCTCAGAAATTTAAGTCTGATGTCCAAGCTCACACCAAAATTACAAGTGTTAACCTTCGAAATCAAAACCAAGTCATTATTTTTGGGAGGGACAGAGTAGTTTTTCTAATACAATATAGGAACACTATCACAAAGTCAAAAACAATTTGCAGATAATGACGGAAACTCCTACATAAAATGTAATAATGATCTCCACAAAGTAAAACATGTCCTGTTTTAACTGAATAAGTTTTTATAACGTTTCTAGTCAATTATTTATAACATCTGAAAATTAGTTCAAAAAACTCATTCCATATAATCAAGTTTTTCCCCTTACCCTGTCAGTATCTAACAGAGGAAAAATCTAAAGAAAATATATAGTATGTATAAAGACAAAATCTTACGGTGCTCTACTTTACGTTTTGTTGACCCCTGGTCATTATAAGTTCATTGACCTCTGATGAGCTATACAAGAGCCCCTTTAGGCACAAGTTTAGTACATTATCTTTGGGCTCACCCCTTCCTATGTATGAGTACAACAACAACAACATACCCAGTAAAATCCCACTAGTGGGGTCTGGAGAGAGTCGAGTGTACGCATACCTTACCCCTACCCCGAAGAGGGTAGAGAGGCTGTTCCAATGTATGAGCGGATTTTTTTTTTTTTTTTTTTTTTTTTTTTTTTTTGTAACTAAACAATTTTATTTACCAAAGTAATATTTACACATTTGATTCTCTTTATAGCTTGATCTGGACATAAGTCCCAGATTCAGCCATCTATTCTTTTCCCACTACTCCTATTCTATTCATAACTACCTTTTTACATATCTATATGAACAATAGGATAGTAGTTTAACTCTAGTAACCTACTCTTCAATCATTGCTTCAAATTCCCTCGACAATGTATTTGTTGTGTTACCAGTCGAGTGTTTGTTTCAGCATTCCTCTGTGTTGCTTGAAAGATTTGTGCATTCCTCTCTTGCCATATATAGTATATGCTTCTAGCTAGTGTCATCCTGTAAATTTCAGCGTTGGAACTTCTACCTTTACAGTGTTGTTCAGCCCATTCCAATTCTTGATCCCACGTCATCACCTGTCTATGAACCCTCTACCATTCGAGCATTGCTGCCCATATTTGTGTTGAGAATGAACATTCGAGGAATAGGTGATCGATAGTTTCTTCTTCTGTGTGACACAGTGGGCAGGTAGTATCTTCCAAGCAGCCTCATCTCCTCAATCTGTCCCTTGTTAGTAGCCTTCTATGTGCAGCCAGGAATAAGATGAATATCCATTTAGGTAGCCCATCTCCTCAATCTGTCCCTTGTTGAGTGGATTGGTAATATGGACTTTTTTGTTTGACTCACTATTGACCTACTACCCAATCTGTGATCACTATAATTTATTCCTGAAGCCATGGGAAGCACCATCCTTCTATGATTTCTTTTTAACTCTATTGTTGGTACTTGGTAGTTGTGCATGCTGTTTGTTTTTTGTCTATCTCTTTTTGGGTTGTCAACAAGATTTGTGAATTCTAAGAACGGTATATCTCAGCTACTCTTATGTGCTTGATAGAATGCATATAATAAGTGAAAGAGCTAATGTGGCATGATTGCAATTATAAGTTTCCTATTTAGTATAGGGATTTAGGGACTAGACCTGTTGAGGAATTGAGATGCTTCATTAGTTCTTGTTTCATTCATTTGCATTTCCCCCCATTCTTTTGTGCAGGAGATTGCTTTGTTAAGTTAGTTTCAGCACGAAAACACAGTACGGTATTATGTCACACTAGGTAATTGTTGTTATTGCTTCCTCGATTATATTTTCTTTGCTCCTTTCTTTGGGAGTCAGAATTGTTGTTCATCTTTCCCATGATTGCTTGTTCTGTTATATGCAAATTCGAAGTTGTTCTCACTTTCCAACGTCTTATTTTATGCAGTTCTGAATATGAGAATGGCTACCACGACACACCACGGGTATATATTCTTAAACCTTCTTGGTTTGCAGTGTGTTATGTCTTACAGCTTGAAGCACGTTTCTATTAGCTGGAGCTATTGGGGAGTGCAGAAAAATCCAGTAATCGAAGATCGATTCAATAGCAGCTCCTGCACCTACTGATTTTTGAACCTTCTAACATCTCGAGCTTGATATTGTACTTTAATCTCAATTAGATGGCTATAACAGTCTGTCCCAAGCTGTAGTTTTTGCACTCTATGGATAGGAATCAAAGATAATTTGTGGGGGCTGTAACACCTGTACCGCAAGTTGTCTCATGAATATGTTTTTGGTGTAATTACTGTGATGTATTCATGTAAATGATGTTTATTACTTTCTGGACTTTCTGTCCCAAGCTGCATTTTTTGGACCTTATGGAGAGGAATCAAAGATCCTTTAAGGGGTCTACGTCACCTTTTTCGGACCTTATGCTTAGGTGTTTTGTGAATCTGTTTTTTGGTGTAATTACTGTGATGTGAATTATGTAAATTATTTTTTGCAATTTGTTGATACTTGAAGTTTTACCCATGAGCCAAATATGTCTTCGTGCAACTTCATACATCCACTGTATGTATGCAGCAAATCAATAAAATCCTTATTGTTTTTATCCCTGAATTTTTTTCAAAGTTGTGATCTTTAAGATCTGCCATTCCTTGTTTATAAAACTTGAGCAACTTTGAGGGTACGGTACCATTTACTTATATCCAGTACATATATTTCGCACGAGTTTTTCTAGTCGACTTTGAATATGGTAGCGTTTGGGCTCAACTCTACTCTTGTTACTTGTACCTTTAGGCAATTTTCGGTGGCTGTCCCTTTTCTGTTGTTTAATAGATGATTATATATATATTTGTTTGTATATAGGACATCTTTCTTCCACTTTGAGTTTTATTCTCTTCTCCTTCATTCTTCACTTCTTCGGTGTATGGTAGAACACACTCTCTCTCTCTCTACATGTTTATTCTCTCTCTTACTAATTCCTGTATTTGATATCTTAAGCAGAACGATAGTGACCTCTCTTCAAAAAGTTTTATGTTGGTTGGTCTGTGCTTGTGGATCGGTTCTATCTTGGGTATCATCAAAATCCCAAAGGCAGATTTTTTTTTTTTGCATCACATGGTTCAAATCTAACATTGAAGTTGGTAAGTTCACATTTTCCCGGTCTGAATCTCAATTATTGAAAAGTAATCAAGAATGAAGCAAACATCTAATGATTAGAAATGGAGTTCTTTCAACCAGTAAATATTTCTATTTTTTTATCATGGGAAAAAGTTGATACACATTGTTGCTCTTGATCTGCAAAGCTGTGTTCTTTTTGCGACTCGAGTTTTCTTCAAAATCTTCGCCCACAATTTTTTTTGCCTGAACCTTCGGCAAAATCTTACTTTCAATATCAGAACATGCTAATAGATGTAGAATTACATAATTTACTTATATGATATTTCATTGGTTTTTCAGAATCTCGGAAATCTAAGCGTGTAAAACAGTAAGCTTATATCTCTCTAGCACTCCATGTCATTTGAGAAAATGAAATCTTAGGTATTCATTTCCCATAGGATGCAAGTTTGGGTTATATAGAGCAAACAGTCTGCATTCTAACGTACCTTATTTGTGTATCTGAAAGCTCTGTCTACGTAATTCTCATTTGTTTCCTATAACACCTAAAAGAGAATACCAAAATAACATGCCTATTGTCACGACCCCAGTTCGCCCTCCGTGAACTATCGTGACGGCACCCAGTCTCTACGACTAGGTAAGCCTAACAAATGCGGAAATAAATAATTTGCGGAAGAAATAATTAAAAACCAGAATAACAAAATGAAATAATGTTTACGATGCCGCTCGACATATACAATACAAACTCTCGAATCTAACAACATTTCCCAAAACCCGGAATCTCATGAAAACACAAGCATTTGGATGTCTACAAATATCTAACTCCAGAGTGTCTAACAAAAGAAAATACAGAAGGGCTAATACTTAAAGAGAGAATAGAGAGGACTCCTCGGTCTGCGGACGCAGCAGATATACCTCGAAGTCTCTGGAAAAGTCGTCTCGCCTCAAGGGTGATAGGACTGAGTCGAAGTACCTAGATCTACACATGAAAAACATGCGCAGAAAGGGCATGAGTACACCACAACGGTACTCAGTAAGTGCCAAACTTAACCTCGGTCGGGTAGTGACGAGGAAGGTCAGGCCCCTACTGAGGTTAAATGAAATACAAGGTTTAACAATGTAGAACAAATCAGTATAAGTAAGTGCAACAGTAAAAGTAACACAGGATATGAAGAACAACAACAATTACTACAGAGGCAGAGTAAGCACAGAAATAAATACAGCTCAACACAGAGATAACAACCGGGGGATCTCCCAGGATACTGTCCTGTAGTCCCAAATATAAATATCCAGTGGATCTCCCGGGATACCGTCCCGTAATCCAACTCATAATGCGAAGGGATCTCCCGGAATACCGATTCGTAGTCCCAAATGTAAATACTCAATACAGGGAAAATCTACCGGGTGCAGTCTTGTAGTTCCAATATAAAAGTGCAGGGGGATCTCTCGGAATACCGATCCGTAGTCCCAAAGTAGACATGCAGGGGGAGGAGATCTCGCGGGATACCGTCTCGTAGTCCCAAAATAAACACACAGCACAACACGAAGGATATGCAATTCAATTCAAAATTCCACACCAAGGTAAAACATGTATTTCTAGTCTAGCATGCTGCACATAATCCAAATAAGGTAGTTTGAACAAGTAAAGCAATTAAGTCAATTAAACATGCTTCCCTAGGCTAACAACAGGCTAAAATTTCAAGTAGTATAAACAGGAAAAGAAAACACAATTAGAATTACTTATTGAAAATCGAATTTTCAACAATTAGCACAAGTACGCACTCATCACCTCACGTACAAGGCATTTCAAATATCAATAATACCAAATCCTAAGGGGAGTTCCTCCACACAAGGTTAGGCAAGCCACTTACCTCGAACCGACTCAAAATCAACCCGAAACCACATTTTTGCCACGAGTACTCGACTCCAAATGACCCAAATCTATTCAATTCAATTGCATAATATAAATATAACTTCAAACAATTGATTTCACAAATAAATTCGAAGCTAATACACGAAATTAGGTAAAATGACCAAAATGCCCTTCGGGCCCACGTCTCGGAATCGGGTAAAATTTACATTTTCAGAATCCTCATACTCTCACGAGTCTAACCATACCAAATTATTCAAATTCAATATCAAATCCCCAATCAAAACTCGAAATTTAGGTCTAAGAACTTTCCCCCAATTTTCATCCAAATTTCGAAATTAGAAATTAAATGATGAATTCATGTTTAGATTAATGGGTTACAAGCAAAAAGGATTTAAGAATCGTTACCCAATCGATATCTCTGAAAATCCCTCAAAACCTCGCTTAAATCCGAGCTCCCAAGCTCTAGTTTTCACAAAAATGGCTAAACCCTCGATTTTTAACTTAAACATTCTGCCCAGACGCGTTCTTCTTCGTGAACACGAGCCAACAGTCGCGAACGTGATGCTAAAATTTCCACTTGCCAGTCTTCCTCTTCGCGAACGCGATGCCCGAGTCGCGAACGCGATGGTCATCTTCTCTCCTCCTACGCGAACGCGAGACTGCCTTCGCGAATGCATAGGTATAAGACCTTCTAGCTTCGCGAACGCGGGAGCACCTTCGCGAACGTGAATCATTAAACCTCCCCCAGCCCCAGCTCCTCTTCGCGAACACGAGACCCCACTCGCGAATGCGAAGAAGGAAACCAGAACTGGGCTGTTGCAATTTTTCTGCAATTTCCCTAAGTCCAAAAATGACCTGTTGAGCATCCGAAACACACCCGAGGCCCCCGGGACCTCAACCAAACATGCCAACCAATCCTAAAACATCATTCAAACCTTTTCAAATCTTCGGAACGTTCAAAACAACATCAAAACACCAATTTAACATTGGATTTAAGCCTAAGAACTCCAAAAACTCTCAAATTACGCTTTCGGTCAAAAAGTTTATCAAACATCGTCCGAATGACCTGAAATTTTGCAAGCATGTAACATTCAACACTACAGAGCTACTCCAACTTCCGAAATTCCATTCCGACCCCGATATCAAAATCTCACTATCGAATCGGAAACTTCAAAAAGTTCAACTTTCGACATGTCAAGCCTAAATAAGCTACGGACCTCCAAAACATAATCCGAACACGCCCCTAAGCCCGAAATCACCCAACGGAGCTAAAGGAACCAGCAGAATTCCATTCCGAGGACATCTTCACACTGCTCCGACTACGGTCCAAATTCTAAAGCTTAAGCTCTCGTTTAGGGACTAAGTGTCCCAAAACACTCCGAAACTCAAAACCAAACATCCCGACGAATTAAAATAGTAGAAACAAACATGGGGAAAACAGTCAATAGGGGATCGGGGCATTAATTCTTAAAACAACCGACCGGATCGTTACATCCTCCTATACTTAAACATTCATTCGTCCTCGAATGAGCATTGAGACATACATGAAGTAGTGAAAAGATGAGGGTAACGCCTGCGCATATCCTGCTCGGTCTCCCAAGTCGCCTCCTCGACCGACTGACCCAGTCACTGAACCTTCACTGATGCAATGTTCTTTGACCTCAGCTTTCGGATATGCCTGTCCAATATTGTCTAATATTGCCACTGGCTCCTCAACATAAGATAGATCCTTGTCCAACTGAACTGAACTGAAATCCAACACATGCGACGGATCACCGTGATACCTCCAGAGCATCGAAACATGAAATACCGGGTGAACTCCTGCCAAGATGGGAGGCAAGGCAAGCTCATAAGCAACCTCCCCAACACGCCTCAATATCTCAAAAGGGCCAATAAACCTCGGACTCCAACCTATGTTCCAACTCGTCACTACTTTCAACCTAAGGTTAGGTTTGTTACTTATTGAGTATATGTGGTCGGTTGTACTCATACTACACTTTTACACCTTGCGTACAGATGTTGGATGCTGATATTGCATAATTCGACGGGAGCTAGAATTGAAGACGTAACTGCGTTCCGGTTGTAGCTGCCTCTTGTTCATGGTAGCCTTAGATTCATAAAAATCTGTTTATGTACATTTCGAACATATGATGTATTTATTTCATACTAGCTTTGTAAATTCTAATCTTAGAAGCTTATGATTTGTACTACCGGTCCATGAGAATTCATTGTATAAAAGCAGTTTTATTATCATTTCTTCTCTTAATAAGTGTTATTTGTACTGGTTTTATTGTTAACTGGCTTACCTAGTAGGTTAGGTTAGGTGCCATCACAACTAATAGAATTTTGGGTCGTGACAATTTGAAGTTGAAGTTGAAGAGTTTGGTGGCATGAAGTTATATTCTCTGTCATTTCTTTTTTTTTTGTTGGAGAACATTGG